GGGTTCCGTTTCATAGGCCGGGTCGAATTCGGCTGGAAGATACCCTTCTGAAGATTGGGGCAGCCTGTCCAGGGCATGAGAAGGTAGTTGCTGAGGTGCCACAGGCTTTGGTCTTCTTGGAGGCACAACAGCCTATGTAAAGAAGAATAATATCTAGAATGATATACTCGCTAGAAATATACAGTTGAACCTTGATAACTCAAACCTCTCCCAAGTCAAATTTGATTCAAGTCTGTCACAATTCACTTGAAAACAAAGCATTAAAAACTTCAACTTCAAAGCTCTTCCTCTCAATGCTCAGCAACTTGCATTTTCCGAGTTCTTTTGGCAATTTTTTTAAAACAAAAAGATAAAGGCAAAAAGAAAGTAACTTGATTTGTTTTAAAAGGGAGTGAGGGACTGATATGGCAAATAAACCATGGCCTTCAAGTTTGCCATCCAGTCAACTCATTTAAGAAGCAATTAGGACCCAGAATAACACCAATTCCAATTTCCTGCAATTTTTCTATCTTATCTCACAACAAAGATGCTTGTTTCCCCAACTTGAAACCTCCAAAACTCAAATTTATTTAGCTGGTTCATTAAAATTTGATCTAAATGTACTGTACGATGATTTATATTTACAACATATGTACCTTTCCACAGCATAGTTCTGTCCAGCAACCTGATGATATGTACAGTACTTTAATGCACTTATGGCACTTGAAAAGTATTTCTCACCTTTGAATGGCCGCGTTTGGTCGACATCAGGTGCGACAGCCTTGACTAGAAAACTATTCCTGCGCGGAAATCCGCAACCAATCGCCTTAAAACTGTCTGGAAGAAAATTAAGGTGCACAATTCGCAGTTCAGATGTCCGGGACAAAAACCATCAGGAATTTCACCACGATTCGTACAAAAACTCGTTTCCAAATATAACATTTCATTCACACAAAAATCCATTTCATCACACATAGAAAAAAAAAACATTTTAGGTACAGTACAAACTTGAAAAATCTCGGAACGGAATAAGAAAAGGTACACGCCGTAAAGCTGGGGTTTCAAATGACCAATGTCAGCGTGTCCACCGGAACGGCCAAATCTTTTTTCAGTTTCAACACTTCTTCTGAGATCTGTGAAGAAACGTGCAAAAAAAAACACGCATTAAAACAGTCCTACATAAAGTGAGCGTCATCTAATCAAGTGTAAAATAGTAAATCTGATACTGTAGTTCTAAACTTTTTTGATCAAAAGTGAGTTTGTGCAGGCAACAAAATTCCCCAACAGAAAATAGACCACAGTACATTGAAATCATGGCACCATTTTCTCATGGATTCAGATGCTGGCAATTCTTTCCCCAAATAAAATTGGAAATACAAGTGAGACCCCCACATGCAGACACCTCGACCTGCAGACAATTGGACATAGGGGCACTTAACATCCCAAAAAATATATTAATAAAAAGTTCCAACACGAGGACACTGTCTCAACATTGGGACATTTTGTGATAAAATTGCAAATACTGTGCATTTCAGGCCAAATAACAAAAAACAGATACAGTATTTCCAACCCTTCAATTGATGTAAGACAAGTTCTTGGGCATTTCTCTCACCAATTTACCATCCATTTAGCTAATTAAAAAAAATTACCTTCAGCAAAGAGGGACTTCTTTCTCTCTTTTTTGCTTGAATTTTATTTTTTACAAAGAATGCCAACATTTCTATGTACTTTACATAGGTATCAGTATTCAATTCCCCAGATGTCCATATTGTGTTGGAATGCATTGATTGAATCAGTTTAAATTGGGAGACAATTTTTATTTTCATGGAATTCTTAAGAATATTCCTTCCATAAAACACCAATTAAAAATTATATAATGTAAGTCCAAGGGAAAATGAGACTCAACTTAAGTGACATTTCAACTTAGGACACTCTTGATGCACCAATTACATCCGCATTGGGGTCTCAGTGTAATTTACAAATCCCATTTTAAGCAGTAAAGTCTTGCTCTGGAATAAACTGCTTCCGCGGAATTCATGGGAGCATAACCATCAAAAGAGCTCAATGGAAGCTTCCCTACCAGTAAAATTTTATGGGCAAAGCCTCTNATGATATGTACAGTACTTTAATGCACTTATGGCACTTGAAAAGTATTTCTCACCTTTGAATGGCCGCGTTTGGTCGACATCAGGTGCGACAGCCTTGACTAGAAAACTATTCCTGCGCGGAAATCCGCAACCAATCGCCTTAAAACTGTCTGGAAGAAAATTAAGGTGCACAATTCGCAGTTCAGATGTCCGGGACAAAAACCATCAGGAATTTCACCACGATTCGTACAAAAACTCGTTTCCAAATATAACATTTCATTCACACAAAAATCCATTTCATCACACATAGAAAAAAAAAACATTTTAGGTACAGTACAAACTTGAAAAATCTCGGAACGGAATAAGAAAAGGTACACGCCGTAAAGCTGGGGTTTCAAATGACCAATGTCAGCGTGTCCACCGGAACGGCCAAATCTTTTTTCAGTTTCAACACTTCTTCTGAGATCTGTGAAGAAACGTGCAAAAAAAAAACACGCATTAAAACAGTACTACATAAAGTGAGCGTCATCTAATCAAGTGTAAAATCAATGATCTGCTACTGTAGTTCTATACTGTACTTGATTGATCAAAAGTGAGCTAGTGCAGGTAACAAAATTCCCCAACAGAAAATAGACTACTGTATATTGAAATCATGGAACCATTTTCTCATGCATTCAGATGCAGGCATTTTTTCCCCCAAATAAAATTGGAAATACAAGTGAGACCCCCACAGACAGACACCTTGACCTGCAGACAATTTGACATAGGGAAACTACTTTTTCAATAAAAATTTAACAAAAAAGGCCCAACATGAGGACACTGACTCAACCTAGGGACATTTTGTGATACAATTGCAAATACATTTCAGGCCAAATTATAAGAAACAAATACTGTATTTCCAACCCTAAAATTGATGTAAGAATATTTGTTCTTTGGCGTTTCTCTCACCAAATTACCATCCATTTAGCTAATTTAAAAAAATTACCTTCAGCAAAGAAGGACTTCCTTCTCTCTTTTTTACTTGAATGTTATTTTTACAGAGAATGCCAAAATTCATATGTACTGTACAGAGGTATCAGTAATCAATTCCCCAAATGTCCATATTGTGAATTCAATTCCCCAAATGTCCATATTGTGTTGGAATATATTGATCAAATCAGTTTAAATTGGGAAAAAAATTTTATTTTTATGGAATTCTGAAGAATATTTCTTCCATAAAACACCAATTGAAAATTATATAATGTAAGTGTAAGGGAAAATGAGACTTGACTTAGGGACATCTCAACTTGGGGACACTCTTGATGCACTAATTACATCCACATCTTGGGTCTCACTGTAATTTAAAAATCCCATTTTTAGCAATAAAGTCTTACTCTCGAATACAGTAAACTGCTTCCGCGGAATTCATGGGAGCATAACCATCAAAAGAGCTCAATGGAAGCTTCTCTACCAGTAAAATTGTCTGGGCAAAGCCTCTCAAGACGAAGGAAGGGACGCCCAATTGGGTTTCGAACAGTCCCAATGAACGCAACAAAAATCTTGGCAAAACCCACCTGCGTCAGTTTGTCAACTTCAACGGCAACTTCGTCAACCTGACTGGGCAGTTTGTTGCTCTCCAACAAATGTTCCCGGGACGGGCCCAAAACTTGCTTTGCGTGTTCCAAAACAGCTCTGTCACACTCGGTCGACTGCGAAAAAAAAACGCGACCTGTTGTATAATTTTATGAATAACGAACACTTTAAATTACACGAGATTTTTCTTCTTGAAGTCTTGCGAATCACGAACGAATTTCAACTACAGACGGACGAAATCCAGCGAGAAATTTCAACGAAAATCATTTTTCATTGGGCAAAAAAAAAAATTCCATGGCTAACAGATGCAGTTGAACAATCAAAAAAATGATTGAAAAAACATCGAATGAAAAGTTGAAACGAAGCACTGAGAAATGAAATTCGCAAGCATCATTTTCAAAAAAGGTCAGTAAATCCTTTTCAATACCTTCATGTTTTCCACATTGCTAACAGGTGAGGTTGAGATACCAACAAGAATGATTTGAGGTACAGGTATCAACGATATTCTCTTTGTAAAGAAAATTATCCGGTTCCTCAAATTTTGTAATGAAGCGAGTTCACCCACACAGTACAGTAAGGTACAGTATTAATGTTCCCCATCACAAAATACTGTACTACAGTATAATGTTCCCACAAAATGTCACTGCATATTTTTCAAGCTTTCGCAGATAAATTCCAAGAATGATTGTCAAAGTATTCATACATCTTTGACCACACATTTGCAAATTAGAACATTTAAATCATCCTTCTGCTCCAACATTTGCAACAAAAAATTAGGACACATATGTGAGGAAATTTAAGGATCACTCACAAAATTAGAAGATAGCTTGAAATTCAAGAAAGTAGCTGATGAATTCTTTGCTTGAACAAATTTGAGAACTTTGAGAAATGAAGCTTTCTAAGTTGTGAAGATAAGATTGGATGGAAAACAAATTGATCAGCCAGGCTGCAGCTGGGACTCACATCCTAGTACAGTACAACATTGATAAATTGTTCAAACAATATAAATTTTAGTGAGATTGCAGAAGTGTGAATTCACAACTGGACAAATTCAAATGGCACTTGTAAAATCATGCAAACAGCTTGCTCTCAGGAGAATTGGCTTGAGTTATCACCACAAGGCAGAATGTGTTGTAGAAAGAGAAATCAGACTTGAGGTTAACTCTCAGGATCAAATTTGAAGATTGAGTTTGACCATCTTCAAAAGAAACAATCTCCTTGTCCTTGGGGAGCCTGGGAACCAAACTTGGGTGTGGTTCACAGGCTCACCAAAGGCATATTTTTTCAAAAAAAAAGACAATTTAGCCCTAATTCAGGGCAGCGTCATTCAGATGCCAACAATTCAAAGAAAACAATTTATGACAACATGAGCTAGTGCAGTATGAGAGGCAACATCCATGACTTTTAATTTGCCTTTACATAGATGTCACCTACAATCCATCAGATCAGCAGTGCCCAACATAAATTCCACATTAACTTCCCCATTAATTTCCAGGCATTAGCAGCCAATTTTTGGACTACAAGTGGTGCCTTGCAATTTGACCTCCCAAAATTCATCAGTCCTACAATTCAACAGTCAAATTTGCTGGGAGGTTGACTTTCAATTTGACCTCTGCCCCACAATTTCCTTCAGCCACTTTTCCAGTGTTCTTGTGCTGCTCTTACTTTATTTTACAGTGTCTTGCAACTTGACCCTAGTCCAGCAACCAATTAGGGTCAAATTGCAGGGTTACCACCTGTACATCAATTTATCAAGATATCATTTTGGAAGACAGGCAATACTTTATTAAAAATGTTAGTTCAATCAAAGTAGAGTTATACTGCATTTATATCAAAGGATTTCTCTTCATTTAATAAGAAATGCTTGAATTATTTGATTTAGAAGCATTTTAAGCATGTATTCCCCATTTCCAATAAAATTCCAGTCTGAAATGTGCTAAAAATCATTAATCTCAATATAACGAATTTTTTGTTATAACAAATTTTTTCTTGGGTCCCTGGGAGTTTGTTGTAACGAGATTTTACTATACATCACTTACTAAATCTCCCGTCTGTTTGAAACTTGTCAGACATGTGCAGACATTCACAAATCCTACAACTCATATCCTCTATATACAATATCATTCATTTGTGAATTTAATACAGCAACAAATTTCCTTTACCAAGAAAAGTTTTCCAAAAAGTATTCTGTGGTGTAACTCACAATATTTTTCCATGACTTCTTCACCACTTCACCAAATGCATTCGCAAGCTGCTCAGGAAATTGCTCCCTGATCTGCGACAGTTTCCTCATTTCAGCTTTCAGAACTTTCACCGGGTTCGCATTCACGTAGTCTAGTGAACAAATACATAATCTCATTATTATATTTTCAGAATACAGTACACTTCATAAATCGATAAATCCAAGGAAAAAAAAAAGTAACGAACCATTCGTGACCAGACGGTCGGGTTCAGACGCTATTTGTCTGCAAGCTGTACTATTGAGTTCCTTGAGATGCTCAAGCTCCACACGGTCAAACAAATCCTCTATTATATCCTAGAACCAAAAATATAAAAAAACAACGTCATCATAATTCCATGGAAGCAACTTATCTCAGAACAGTTTGAAATCCAACCTGAGTTATCTTGATGGCCAAGGCTTTTCTTTCCTTCTTCGTCAGCGTTTCCTGCTTCAACAATTCCGCGTTGACGACCTGAAGGACCATCTTTTCTTTCTGCAATAAGTCACTCATTTTCACTGAAACAATAACATTCACCTGTGAATGATGCCGCGGAAAATAATGCGTAAAACTTTTCAAGCAGAAAATGCAACGCAAAAAAAATGATAATGGAAGTTAAGAACTAAGACAAAATATTACAGGATACTTTGCCTCAGTTCTTTTTGGCACACAATTAAAATACGGCAGATTGAAAGACATCATAATACAGTTAGTTGTTCATCTTTTAGTTCATTTTGACTTCAACTGCAAAAGCAGAAAAGTACAAATTTACGAAATATGACATTCGGAACGATTTGATACAAACATTAAAAAAAACCCGGCTACATTTCACTTAGTTACAACAGCAACAACTAAAATTAGGCTGGACCTTAGTAAATTGCGGAACACACTGTTCCACGTTTAACTCAGGTCCAAAGGAACTCGAAAAAAAATTTTTTTAATGAAGAATTTAAAGGCTTTCTTGTGAAAATTTCTTAACTTTTACTCAAATCGAAAGTTTTTTTTTTCTTTTTTGGTTTGCTGTTGAATGTACTCACTCAGAAGCACTCAAAAAGACGCCGGCCAGTTTTTTCTCGATTGAATTTCAGAAATTTTTCACTTACGATAAGCGACGCATTCTTCATAAAAAAAAAAACATGCCATCGAATTTCTGCAAGTTCGGCCGTTATTTTATTTTGTATTTAGCGTTCAAGAAAAAATATTGGTGTCGGAAAACCACGAAGAAACAAAGGAACGGAGATGAATAGAGAGATTAATTCAGCGGAACGCGCATTTAATGCAAATGCGCTTAAACTTCAAAACTATTCGTTTTGTGAGACGCAGAATTGATCAAACCGTCATTACCGAACAAAACTGAAAACCTCACACGCGCAACACATTAAAAATTTGCACCCGAAACACGAGACCAAAGGTTGCAAATCGACCGTCGTTCATATTTGTACACATATCGCCGCGGTGCGTTTCTCACGTCGGGGCGGCGGGGCGACGGATCCGTTGTCGTCGTCACTGTCGTTGGAAGGATTGTCTTGCTCATTGTTATCTTCGTCGTCACTGAGAGCTCTTCGCGAAGGCACAGCTTTCCTTCTTGCTGGTCGTGATCTACGAGAGAATCGAAAAAAAAGGGTTTCAATTCACGACAGAACTCAGGACAATTTAAAAGAAAAAATTATAAAAGTCTCGAAAAAATCAGGAAACCCAGGGTTTTCGTTTCAAACGTATTTACAGCAAAATTAGCGGAGTTTAAGATATCATTTATTTTCAATAATTTCTCATATTGAATCCAGGTACAGTACTTCTTTATCTATCCCACTTCCCTGAATAAAAAAGAATTTCAATTCACGACAGAACTGAGGACAATGAAAAAAAAATTACAGAGGGCACGAGAAAGCCGAGAAACGAGGTAGCTTTAACAACAAAATTAGGGCAGTTCGAGCATTAAGTAATTTAAAGGGGTTTCACATCGTTTTCCCATCTTCAACGTTTTAAAAACGTTGATCCTTTTATTTTCTTGAATAAAAAAAGGAATTATCGCACGACAGAAGCAAAGAACTGAGGACAATAAAACAAAAATTACACAGTTCACGAGGAAGCCGAGAAAAGAGGAGATTTCGTTTCCATTTTTTTAAAGTACTTACAGCAAGATTAGGGCAGTTCAAGCTATCACGTATTCACAAGGGCTTTCAATCATTTTCCATCTTCCTCGTTTTAAAAACTCTATCTAATCTTCCTACTTTCCTGAATTTGAAAAAAAGGTGTTCAATGAACGACAAAACTGAGGACAATGAACTTTATATTTTGCTCAACATCAATTGAAGTCAATCAACAGTGCTTATATTTGCCTACTAATGGAATTTAATTTTTGTGCAAGAAAAATCTGAGGGAGTCGCTTATATTCGCGTAAATACCGTTTTCACAGCAAAATTATGGCAATACAAGTGATCACTAATCTTCAAAAATTTCCATCATGCTTCATCTCCCATATTTTGAGTGGAGGTACTTTTCTAATCATCCAAATTTTTCCAAAAGCTTGACACTTTTCACCAGGATGGATCAAATACATCAACTGCAGCACTAGTTTCTTCACAATTTTTTTTTTTTCGCAATAAATTCGAGATCAAACCTGCTCGCAGGGGGTTCCTCGTCAGCGTCGCCGCCGGCAAAGTCCTCGTCATCACTGGGCGTATTGGTGATTTCGCGCAATTGCCGACGCGTGTCCTTTTTGCCGGTGGCCTTCTTCTGTCGGGCCTGATTCTGGGCCTCGTGTCCGAGCTCGACAGCTTCCTTGTCGCCCACGCTCTTCTCTCGCTCCTGCTGCACGAGGTTCTCAAATTCGCCAAGGAGCACTGGTCGGTCCTTCATACTGCCCTTGGCCTGGGTCAGGATGGCGAGTAACGTGTTGTGCACTCCGTTCACGTGTAGCTTGCTCTTGAAGCACGCGAAGTTCTCCATCAACTTCTTCAACGTCTTTTCACTGTGAGAAGAGAGAAATTGCATTTTATTATTGACCAATCACGGGTAGACTCTTTTAATGACGATTGTCTCTGTATGCATAATATTTACAGTGAGACCCCAAGATGCGGACATAATTGGTGCATCAGAAGTGTCCCTAAGTTGAATTGTCCCCAAGTCAAGTCTTGTTTTCCCATAGACTTAAATTATATAATATTTAATTGGTGTTTTATGGAAGAGATATTCTTCAGAATTCCCTGAAAAAAAAATGTTTGCCACTTGAATTTGAATTAGTGAATACATTTTCAACTCAATAAGAACATTTGGAGCATTGAATAGTGTGTCTCTGTACTGTACATTGAAATGTTGGAATCTGAAGAAATAACATTCAAGTGAGAAAAAAATGTAGGAGTCCTTCTATGCTGGAGAGAGAAATGCCCAAGAACTTTTCTTACATCAAATTTAGGGTTGAAATATCTGTTTCTTTTAATTTGGCCTGAAATGTATTTGCAATTTTTTCACAAAATGTCCCTATGCCGAGTCGGTGTCCTCATGCATTTTTTTATTAATTTTTTCTGAGAAAATAAAGTGTCCCTATGTCAAATTGTCCGTAGGTTGAGGTGTCCGCATGTGGGGGTCTCATTGTATTTTTGTATCGTACTGATAATATAGCTCAATATTCGGCCCAAAGAGACTCTTCGTCCATTCCATATCATTTTCAAGGTGGCAGCCAGGACTTGAAAATATAGATCCAAAGATGAATTTTAAAATTCCGAATGTTGTGCAACCCTCCAAAAATTCTTCAAGACCGTGCTTGTGATTCATTGTATATCACCGAATAAAATTTCAATTTAAGGAGGGGGAAATATTGGAATACACATTTTTGTTTCCTTCTATCCAGATTACTGTCTCTTGAGGCCTGGAAGGACTCTCCACCTCTGTATGTGGCCCTCGGCAACAAAATATTTTTACACGAGGCCCTTGGCCACATCTGAGTTGGACAAAGAGGTTTTCTGCAGCGATTATTTTAACCCCTGAATTTCGTTGCATAGAATCCCACCTGTATTTGCTTCGAGAATATTCTTGAAAAGCATCGAATCTTTCTGTAAAATGTACGCTCAAAAAAAACGGCAAGTCTTTCAAAATCTGTGAACATCTTCCACGAATATGAGACTAATCTCTCTCTCCGAACACATATCGTCTAAAGCCAAAATGTTTGCGGAATAAGTCTCATTATTATCAGTAAATTACTTCACATTGGGACCCCGACATTCGAACAACCCGAAATCCTAACACGTTCAAGATGAACAAACAAAATTTCCCGACATCCGGACATTTTCTGAGTCCCGGACACAGCTGACACGAGGTTCAATTATATATTTTTTCAATTGAAGTGCATACAAAATATACATCCTAACAAAGTTCGACGACGATATTCTCCGCACAACGGAGTTTCTTGCCACTTGAATATCGATATACAATATCTTCTCCACAAACATTGGAGAAAGATAACTCGACAAGTTTAATTACCCAGGAAATAGAATTATTCATGAGGGAAATGAGCAAAGAACTTCCGTTTCGAAAAGGGTATATTTTTTTTATAAATGCGATAAACGTACTTATACTTGATGAGCCCCAAGCAATAAGCGAGATTCTCCCATTGCTGCGGCTTGTCTGTTATGGCGGCTCCCAGTCGACCGCAGATCTTCTCCACCAGCACTTCCATTTGCTTATCCTTGTCAATCAAGGAGAAGACGAAGCGCGTGATGATCTGAAATTCTTCTTGTTCTAATGGCTTGGTCGGATCCATCAGGCCTGAGATCAAATCCGGCAACGTATTATACAACATGTTGTTCTTCTTGGACAGTTCTCGGAAGAACTCGCGAGTCAGGGAAGAAACGTCCAGATCATCGTCCACGATGCATCTGGCAACCTACGGAAGAAAACACAGTCGACAGACACACAACATGAAGCAAAAGATCATCAAGATTCAACCATCAAGATCAATCAAAATTGGATTGCATGATATGCAATGAGAAAAGTATCCCGAAACCGTTTCATAGTTCTTTTTTTTTTTTACTGCCCTCAATCAAATGCAATTCGGGGATAAAAATAATTCAATCGTGAAACTGACGAAGTTCTATTGGCTATCGTTTGAAAACCGTTTTCTATTTTAAATCTTTACGTCATAACAATTCCAAATTAAAAATTATAATACAGTATTGTGAAGGTGGACTCTCTTTCTACGAAGAAATTCAATGGACCAGAAAAATTCGTTTTCGAAATAATTTCGTTGCAGGGAACCCATATAACATATGTAATGAACCCTCTGTGAACAAGTAGTCAACAACAAAAATATTTGTTCTACATAGAAATTCGTTGTAGACAAGATCGTTGTGGAGAGAGCCCATCTGAATTATCCAGTAAGATTCTGACAAAAATTGCATAAATTATGGAAGCCGAAAAATTGCGTTTTAGGCAGAAGTTTACTTTTATTCCAGATCTTTACGACATGAAAATACAGGTGGACTCTCCCTAAAACGATCTTGTTTATAAAGAATTTTTTTTAGGTATACCGATTTTTTTTTGTCACACAGGGTTTCCCTTTTTCAAAACGAATATTGTTTTAAAATTTGTTTTTGGAGCAGTAAAAAGCGGAAAGAAATTTTTGATCCTTAAAATTTTGCGTGATTACCCTCAGAAACTACGTCTTATGTGCGTTGCGCACATAAGACGTAAAAAAAAAACATTGAATTTTGAATGATTTAGGATAAAAAAAACAACAGCCAACGAAATCTACCCAAACTTGAACAAGGCGTTTCTCTAACAAAAGACGCCATTTTTATGGATTGCACGATCTCGAAGAAGCAAACAAAAAACGATAATTTGTCTTCAACAGAAGTGCAGAAAAATGCTACTCACGTCAGCAATGTATCCACGAACTTCGAAATTTTTTTTTTAATACAGTACAGTATCAACTTTGAAAATATTCATTTTCACGGATTGAGAAAAAAAAAATAAATAATTTTGAGAGAAAAAAAAAATATAATTTTGAGAGAAAAAAAATATATAATTTTGAGAGAAAAAAATATATAATTTTGAAAAAAAAAATCATTTCGAAAAATCAACTTTCAATTTCATGGATTTCACGATCTTGTAAGAAGGAAACAAAAACGCAAAGTCGTCAACAGAATCGCAGAAAAATGCCACTCACGTCAGCAATGTATCCACGAACTTTGAAAATATCATTGAGAATCATCTCGGTGATGAGCTTCAAGGCAGTCAAACGCACGTGAAGGCACTCGTCCGACAGACGCAAGAAAATTTTGTTGGTGTAGGGATCGATCTGTTTCGGGAACCTAACAGCCAGGTCACAGGCCAACACGACGCAGTTGCTCCGAATGATCTCGTCCGGGTCCTTCTCCATAATCGTAAACAAGAGCACGGCGTGTTGCTCGCAAAAGGACTTGCTGACCAACATGTACTTGCCCAGGGCAACTATGGCAGCTCGGCGAAGGTCGACTTGGCGAAACGTGTCCGGGTCCTTGCACGCGAGCAGTATGAGAGGCCTAAACAGTAAAAATTTAGATTGACCACCAAAAACAAAATACATCACGAGTGTCCCCAAGTTGAAATGTCCCGAAGTCGAGTCTAGTTTTCCCATAGACTTACATTATATAATTTTTAATTGGTGTTGGAAGAAATATTCTTCAGAATTCCCCGAAAAAATTGTTTGCCACTTGAATTTGAATTAGTGAATACATTTTCAACTCAATAAGAACATTTGGAGCATTGAATAGTGTATCTCTGTAATGTACACTGAAATTTTCGCATCTACAAAAACAACATACAAGTGAAAAAAAGTAGAAGTCCCTCTATGCTGGAGGTAATTTTTTTTTAATTAGCTAAATGGATGGTAAATTGGTGAGACAAATGCCCAAGAACTTTTCTTGCATCAATTTTAGGGTTGGAAATATATGTTTCTTGTAATTTGGCCTGAAATGTATTTGCAATTTTATCACAGAATGTCCCTATGTCGAGACAGTGTCCTCATGTCAGGCCTTATTCATTGATTTTTTCTGGGAAAGTACGTGTCCCTATGTTGAATCGTCCGAATGTCGAGGCGTCCGCATGTGGGGGTCTCACTGTACACACAGAATACTGTACACAGTACAAATACTGTACAGTTAAACCTCCCGAAGTCAAATTTTGTTCAAGTCACCGTCTTCATTCCTATAGAAACAATGCAAAAACCTTCAACTCGAAGGCTTCCCCTCTCAAACCTCCGTAACTCTAATTTTCTTACGGCTTTTGGTTATAATTTTATTGACACAAGAGAAAAGCAATAAAAAAGGCAACTTCATGTGCGTAGAAAGGAAGTGACGGACAAATTTGGCAAATCAACCCTTGCCTTCAAATTCACAATACTGTACTGTCAACACGATTGAGATGCACTTTAAGGTCCAGGAAAACACCCTTTACAATTTCCTAAAATTTTTCAATCTTTCCGACAACAGAAATGCTTGCTTCCCTAACTCGAATCCTCCCCAACTCGATTTTCTTCATTGGTCCCTTTAAATTCGACTGGAAGAAGTTCGACTGTATCACCACGTATTCCCAGAAGGGTACCACGCGCACCCAGGTTTTCCCATCAATAATTTTTCCAATATCCAATCCCCAAGTAAGACGCGCACCCCGTTTTTAGTGACTGAAAAACTGCAATACCGCATTTACGCAAATATAAGCATCCCCTAGATTTTTCATGCACAAAATTAAGATTTGAATAGGCAAACATAAGCGGCCCCTCACTTTCCTGGCGTTCTGTCTTTCCAGGAATCTAAAATTTCTGAATAAATTTAGGGTTTTCCAAGATGAGGGGAAAAACAGTGTCATATAACCCTTGCTCTTTACCTTTAGTCAAGGCATCTTGAAGTGTTGAAAGCTGACAATTTTTCTTGATTATTTTCAATTTGAATTCCAGAGGAACTGAAGAAAAAAATGCTCAATCTTCTTGTAAGCCGCAAACAAAAAATTAATTGATGCTGCAAGTTTACGAAAATTGCATATACAGTACATCATTTGAGAATATAAGTACCCCCTAGTTTTCGAGCTTCTGAAATCGGAAAAAGAGCGTTAATATTCGCGTAAATACGGTATTTATAAATTATAAGTATAAAATACTGCGGAATTTTAAGACACGAATCAAACCTGATTTCAATTAACAGTAAATTTTAATGTTTCTCATGAAAAACGATTTCTCTATTAAATATGCTTCAAAATGTATCGTTAGAATCAAGTACGAAGCGCATCTAAACTTTTTTTTTTACTTCGGTAAATTTTATACCCGCCTCCAATGCGCACCCTCCTCGATTCCTTTTCAGTCTTCATTTTGAGCAAAAAATTTACTAGAGTAAATATGGGAGATTCTGAACATCTGACATTTGTTTAGTTAGGCTCACTGCGAGAAACATTTTTTCGGGCCGCGGGAAACCCCACTCGTGATCTCACGCGGTTTTGAACATGTACTTACGCAAACTGGGCAAGCCATCCATTCCCAGTGACAATCTTCTTCTCGCAAATCTCTCTCACAGCTTCGGAAACCGCATCCTCGCAATTCGCAGCAGCCAGTCCGAGTTCCAAATCCAGCTCAAAATCCCCCTGCTATAGAATTTCAACGTTGAGTAATTCTTCCCGACAAAAGCGACATCTGGTCACGATGACCGTAACAACAACAACAAAATAAATACAGTATTCCTTCCAACTGACCGACAAGTCCCCGAGCTTCTCGCTGCGCACAGACATTCGTTTGTTCCGAACCACCGACGAGGGTTTCATCCCAGCTTTCCGGCGACGCTCGTCCTTTTCACGCTGCTTCTCCTGCTCACGGCGCCGCAGTTCGGGGCGGACTTGCATGTCCAAATATTCAGCAAGACCCAGAGCCAGTTCGCCAAGCAGAGCAAACGAACGCGTGAGCACAGACGCCATCATGCCTCGAGGGGGAAAGTCTTGGGACGGAGAGTTCTCGTCACTCGTTCGTATTGCCGCAGTCACGAGGTGCACCAACTGTTTGCACAATTCCAATGGTTCTTGACTAGCCTGAAAAAGAATACGGTGATTCGAACAAACTGCTTTCGGGCGTCTTCAAACGCGAGTTGACAGGGCTCTTCTACAGTATCAGGAATGTTCAATGATGTTTGTACGCTTGTATTGAAAGTATTTTAGATATTCAATGAGCAGCGAACAATTTGAATTACATATGATGCATGTTCCAACTTTGTAATCGTTAAAATCAGTGTTCCCCAACCTTTTTGGGCCTGCGGACCTGCAATTAACAAAATTTGTAGACCGAAAAATTTCTAAAAAAATTCTGTGGACTGGCAAGATTTCGGAAAAATTTTGCAGGCTAAAAAAGTTTTGTTCTATAGAGTTTATGGCAGGTATTTGAGAAGTTTCTACTTTTTTGAAAAAATTAAGCCAAGAACCAATAAAGCAGCTATAGTGCAATGTCTTCAAAAAATTATAAACGTGGGCTTGAAGAAAGGTTTCTCAAAAGGAAATACTTGAAATAATTTATTTCGGAGAGTGACATTCTGTCTGAAGCATTATTAGGAGAAAGGGTACCTTTTATTTTTCATCGGACACTGTAACTCAATTGCCATTGTCTTCCCAAAATTTACTGATAACGGACTGCATTGCTACTTTTCATAATTTATTGTGCCGAAAAATTTTCCGCGGACCGGAGCTGGTGCACGCGGTAATTAATGAAAATTTGTGTTAATAGCCATAGATGTCACTTGAAGTTATAGTGGCATTCGTGGGCATCCGGAGATTGACTTGATTTTTGGAGGAATTTCCATAAAATACTGAGCAAACATTGTTTAATGTTTTTTTATTGTTTACACATTTTTAAATCCTCCGCCCCTTCAATGTCAACGTACTTATGTAAGCGTTTCAAGTCACTTGTAACAAATGGCTGACTCATCCACTGAAATTCTTTTTCGGATAATCATTCAGTGCGCTCTTTCAGAGACTCGTATTACATAAAGATCGTCAGGTGCACAAGCAATTCATTCCATTTACACTCGAAGATTCGTTCCTCAAAGAAACTAGGTCAGTAAAATGTCGGCTCTGTCACATTCCGAGTTGATCACACATTCTTGCTTCTTTTTGGACGTGAACACATCCTGGAATAAATCCAGGCGTTCTGTAGCCACTCCAGAGAATGATAAAATCTTGGAAACTTATGTTCATAAAAATCTAGTTAGGACTAATACATTTGCCACTCGAGGCGAAGACCCGGAAAAAATTTGCCAAAGGGGGCTCTACGGAGTTTAAAACAGTGATCCGCGAGTTCAATAAATCGAAAAAGCTCCACAGTTGAGCAAAACCCAACTTCAAATTTCTTTGGGGATCGATTCTAAATCCTCATAATTATCAACTCACAATAAAGATGAATTTCACTGCGGCAGCAGCCATCGGAGCATACATCCGGTCTTTGGCCGAAAAGAAGCTCATTTTCACCAGTTTCACGGTTTCCTGGATCACAGGATGAGACGAGGGGAACCGCGAGAATCTCGGACCTTCAGCTGGATTCGGCTCCGGCGTCGCGTCCAAATTAGTCTTCTTCCCTCGTTTCGGAGCAAGAGAAGAAGTACTCGGTTTCGTACCATGGATCGACAAGTACACCAGTTTTCTAAGTACTTGAAGTACGTCCGCAGCAATGCTGAGATTCGTCCGAACCACGCAGCCATTTTCCACTTCGTACGCACGCTTCAGGCCGTATTCCACGAATACGTCCAAATTCTTGAGTCCGATGGTAGGATCAGCTCTAATAACGCATTAAAAAACCGAATATTCTTCAACTCTTCAAAAAATATATACGGTACGTATCTCTCCCTGTTTCATTTATGCATGAATCCGAAGAGTCGAGTTCACTTAGGTTAAATACGGTAAATGAATTTTTCACAACACTTTTAACGTGTGAACTCTACTGAAACATCGACGATTTGAAGAGCACTTCTTATTTTTCTGCGGCCCAAAATGAAATAAAAATTTGTTTCTTCGTTACTTGTTGACTGTAAAACTTTCAAATTGTTCCCTACGCGTGAATGTCTGAAATACAGTCGGCAGACCTACTTCTTGAGAATCGAGTACTCCGCATAAAAGCTCTGCTTTCTCAGTAGCAGTTTAGTTGGAAAATTATTTTTTTCGAAAATTGACCCAAGCTGGTTAGAATACGGTAGATTATGCTGTTCTGCACTTCTCAACGCGGAATGCCTTTCAACTCGTCTGAGTGATTTTCTTTTCTATTTTCATAGATGTCGCCCGACGTTTAGAAGATGTTGAGATGAATTTTAGTCAGGTTGAAGATTCACCCATTTCGCCAAGCTACGTCGGGGGATGAAACAAACTTCTTGTGCAGTTTCCAGAAACAGAAGAATTTTTTTTTTTAATCAAAGTCAACTAGGTAATTTAGCAATAACAATACAACAGTACAGTACATATATCTTGGGGGGGAAAATTTTCAAGCAGAATCCAATTTCAGAACAATTTAATAATAATACTAACGAAGTCGCCATTCCGAGCAAGATCAGAGCACAGTGCGAATGCTCCGGAGTGGTGCCAGCAATTTTGTACGCAAACCGGTCCCACAGCGTGTCCGTCGTAGCAGCATCTAGCTTTCCTTCCTCGTAGCATTTCTGTACGAGCAATTCGAGGGCAGCCAACTCGCCCTGATTCGCCTTGAGGACGATTTCCGAAAGGTTCTTGACAATTTGCAACCGGGTCCTCACTTCCCGCTCGCTGGGATCCATTTCTCCCGGGAACTGCACTCGCAGATACAACAACTCGTACGCTTCCCTGACAGCCTGAAAAAGAAACGCATAACTGTATTTTAAAATAGATTTCACGACTTTTTAGGGATGAAAATAATTTCGAACACAAGTAAAATCCCAACTCAAACCAAGTTTTCAATGGACTGTCATCCAAATGAACAGAAATATAGTAAGTTCCAAACTCGGGTCATGCTATAGACGAAAAATAACTTCAACACTTCGAGATTCATAAAAAAGGACTACAGAAGGACCTTGTTCACAGATAACAGATGGGCAAAAAAAAAGCACCAAACCCAGTTTCTCTAGCTATAGTACAACTAATTTTCCTATAACAAAATTTTTCCAACGCAAGCATATTAAATTTTTTACATTTTGTACCAATTTTTGCATGTGTTTTTACATTTGCAAGAGAATTTTTTCATGTGAAGGTCACCCGGAAAATGGTGAGCAATAAGTCGATAGGAGAAGATCAACAGCACACGGACACAAGCTTGCTTCGAATCTAGGTATTCATCCCACGGTAGTCCACAAGATTCTCATCAACAAACTTGTATACTCAAATACTCTACATTTCAAGATATTCTAAGATCCTGCAAATATTCAACCATTCCTCTTCGAAGCAATCAAATAAAGTAGAATCAAAGTTTGGATAAGAAAAAAAAAGACTTCTCACGAATAATCACCTTGACAATGCTTTCATCTTTCGACTTCATCAGCATCAACATTCGCCTCAGGGGAAGCAATGACTCATCCATGTTCAAGGTGTAAGTTTCGGTGAAATACCTGATAGCTTCAGTAACATCCGAGGCAGCAGTGGATCTCAGTAATTTACACATCTGACCCATGCAGTGCTTAATCCCGTCGCGATACTCGATCGCTGCCCTCAGAAATTCCAAGTTCCGGCGGAGCAACCTGATTTCCGACAACTAAAAGAAAAAATTAACGAAAACTATATTTCAAGAAACAAGAAAAACAAATTTTAAAAGACATCGAAAAACGTTTGCACGCAACAGAAAAAACCGCCTACACTTCTCTTAAATTTTAGAGTAACTAAATATTCACGAACTCGTGCTGATCAGTGCTGAAGAGCCTTTCGTATAGTATCTATAATTGAGGGAAAAAATAAATCCAGATTCAAGAAGCATGGCAATTTTTCTCGATCTGTTCGAATGAACTTTTCCGTAGAGCCGAGCTATTGGATAAAAAACTCGTCTCCTGACTCGCACTCGAATTCATTTTCTTTAGCACGTTTTTTTTTTCAACAGATAACCAGGAGATAATTTCTCTTGGCACTGGTACGATCGTGCAAATGTTCCCATAGACACAAAAATGCTGATAAACCATTAAATGCTACAATACATCTCATGTGCAAAACTTCCCATCTTAATTTCCAATTACTGTATTAAAAATATTGTACAGACTATTGAAATTCAGCGAACCTAGAGCGTGTATAAATTCAAAAAAAATGTATGTACAGGGGGACTCTCTCCACAACGATACTGCCTACAATGAATTGTTTCTGCATAACGATCTTTTCTTGCTTCCCTTTGATTTCTCATCACATTTTATAGAAGTTCTCTTCAACGAAATTCTCTCTAAAATGATTTTTTTTGTCCCTTGAATTTCCAAACATATTTAAATTTAATTTAATTTAATTTAAAGCTCTATTAGACACGATTTTATGCAGTTGCAACTAGCGCAAGAACGAGCACAACCTGATATTATTCTAATTTCGCACCTACGCGATGGTTATTGCCGCATTCAGATAAATAACGAAAAATCTTCTGAAAATAAATAATAATTTCACTGAGATGACGCTTTCAACAAAAATATCCCTACGAATGTCTCGCAGATCAAAATTGTTCAACACGCCAAAACTCATAAGCATGAAAAAAGCTAACCTTGGCAACATCGTCACTTTCAATAGCAGCAGTCTGAGGATCGAGTTCCGCAGGTACCACAGGTGGCTCAGCTCCATGGTAGCGAGTGAAAATCTGATACGCGTGGAACAGCAATTTCACGCCGCGAATTGACAGTTCTCCGTCCTGGTGTGGCACATCCTGCGGTTCTTCAGCATCGACGGGAAGTCTGAAAAAATATCGAAGTTTAAAATTCACACTTCGAGTCGTTCAGATATGAGATACCACAGGAATGCATTAATGGGCCGGGACACGAACTCCTGCAAATTTTCACTTCAATACCTCACGTCCGACCTCCTTAATTTTCTTTGCCATCACGTAGATGTCGCCCAAAATTTTAAACATTCCGTCATTTTAGGTGGAGTTAGACAACGTAAAGATGGTGAAGCATGTTACAGGATTTTTTTCCTCGTTCGGTTCAAGATAGGTTTTTATTTTTGTCAAACAAGCGATTCAGGCGACACCTGTAGAACTTCCCAGGAGGTGCGGTTGAGCATTGAAGCTAATAAAAAAAGAAGGGCAAAGTTGTTTTCCACTAGCTTTCCGCTTCTGAGTGACTTTATAGAGGACTAAGCCTTTAAACACTATTATGTTCCTTTAATAGGCTGTTCGAAGTAGTCCCAGAAGGTTGTTGTAGAGCCGGTCGAGTATAACGGCGCAAAGACTGTTACCGTTGGGATCCACTTCGGTGCTTTCATTCTCCGGAGGAACTAAAATCAGTCCAAAAATGTCCCTGCTCTCACCCAAATACAGGACAGTACAATTTTGTCTTCGAACTCACATGCGAAGTATCGATCGAACAAGATTTCAATGATTTCCGGGCGCATTTCCCTGAATTTCAAGGCAGCCTTCGCGTCCGCGAGTCAAAGACGAAGCGACACAAGGCGACCGAAGTCAAGCAACTAGAAGACGACTTCAAAAAGAAGAGAGAGAAAATATTCCCACAGGTTTAAAAGGAATGGGAACCTTCTTTTTTTTTCGATGAAGTTTACCCTAATTATTATGCCGCAGTTTAAATCATGGAAACGGTTTTACAATTTTAAATCATACGAAGTTTCAATTGAAAAGAAAAAAACTTCTCCCACAAGCTATTGAATCTAACGCGTTTCTTTTCTGAGCAAATCTGGTGAGGCATGGATTACAGTACTGTATATAAATTTTATTTCGACAACGGCAATCAGGCTAATTATCAGAGAAGGTTCCCAGCTTGAAAATACATACAATATTTATGCGAGATACAATTGAACGTAGAATATCACCGAGCACAAAATCTCGTCATTCTTCTTCCTGTCCCCCCAATAATAGTGATATTTTTCCTAAATCAAATCATTCCAACTGGGTCCCTTGAAGTTCGACCCAAAGAAGTTTGAATTTACTTCAATAGTAAGTTACGCAGGCGCTCAGTTTCTGCTTCGCTGTGTTCCGCTGGCTTCAGTTCGTTGATCTTCTGCTGAAGTTTTTCTTCTCTCTCTTTTATAAGGGTGTCCAAATTTTCCTTACCCTTGGAAGAAAAAAAAAAACGATGAAGTTTACCCTAATTATTATGCCGCAGTTTAAATCATGGAAACGGTTTTACAATTTTAAATCATACGAAGTTTCAATTGAAAAGAAAAAACTTCTCCCACAAGCTATTGAACCTAACGCGTTTCTTTTCTGAACAAATCTGGTGAGGCATGGATTACAGTACTGTACATAAATTTTATTTCGACAACGGCAATCAGGCTAATTATCAGAGAAGGTTCCCAGCTTGAAAATACATAAAATATTAATGCGAGATACAATTGAACGTAGAATATCACCGAAGTGTTTTAGAGCAGTAAGAAGAAGGACAGGGGGGTTATTATCACTATAAAAAGGATTTAGTTTAGTAAGGTTGACCCAGGGAACTTCAAGCTGGGTTTCTTCAAACTTAAATGAAGTTATCATTCAATAATTCGTGATCGGATTCACACTCTCGACGATCTTTCAATTCAAAAAATTCACCAATATAAATTAACTGACGTGTTCCTGAAGAAATTTAAATTCATGTAAGAACGTCTTTTAGTCCTGATCAGTGTCATTCTTTAACAAGATTAAAGAATACATGACTCTCCTACTCGAGTGCCTCTTCCAATTCATTTTTGCGAAAAAGATTTCAGTAAGAACCATGTTATTCATCTGAGAAACACAGCGAGTAGAAACCATAAATCCAATTAAATGTACTCACGAAACAGCTATAATAGGGATTATAGATCGTCAGGATCCTCAAGAAATTGGTAGCAGCCTTCCGCACCGTGCTCGCCTTGTCAAACATTCTCTCGTCGCAAATTTTCACCATCCCCGCGTATCTCACAACAGGAATATACGTTTCCAAAGGTACACGAGGCGCCACTTGAGCCAGAATGGCGTCCAAGAACTCATCGTTCGTCATGTTCCTGGGCATAGCCAGTTCTGCCAACAAACTCAACGCGTCCTTCCGCACAAACGATATTACGTCTTCCGTGTGATCGCACAGAAACTGGAAATATTCGTCAACTCGCTCGTGGTCCTCTTCAGTCATCTCGTCAGTGGTCAAATGACGGATGCATTCCTTGAGCACAGTCAGGACCGCGATCCGCATGTTGTGCGACTCGCCTTCCAGGTGTTCAATCAAATATTTGATGGCGTGCTTGAAAACTCCCGGCTGTTTCCGAGCGAGTGACATGAGGAAGGAAGAATATCCCTTCGAGGCTTTCACGTCTCGGTTAACGTCTTCGGGATTCGTTTGAGCAATGTTGGTCACGACGCTGGACGCGAAAATCATGTATTCTTTCTTCTCAGGAAGACCGAGTAGGTACGACAAACAATCCACAGCAACATCAGCAAAATGTTCGTACAATTGAACTCCCTGTCATCGAACAAAAGAAGAATTATCGTCCATGCGGTAACCAAATGCTGTTCATGCAGGCAACCAGAAAGAGAATACAGTGGGTGTGGCTCCGCGCATAACGAAACTAAAATCCGTTCCTGGGTCTGGGTGTACTTGGTTATGCGAAATTTTCTTTCATGCGAAATGCGATTTCCCTCAAGTTTGCATGGTAAAATATGTAAATTTTATATTATTTCCAGACACACACCAAAACGTAATCGAACCATTAAAACTGATTATTTTTCGTAGCTTTTTAAATAAAATAGTGAACTTGGAAATTTTAAGCAACCCTGGTGAATTTTGCTCTGAACTTTCTAAATCTCAACAATTGTAAATCCAAGATGAGGCAAAACTAGATCTTTTTCCCCTAATTTTCCTGAATTTTCGAAAAAATCCCCAAGTTTTAGTCGGATATTCGACAATTTTCGGGTCATACAATTTCTTCAAGTGAAACAATTTCGTCACGGAGTAATATTTTCGTTCCCCCATTAAAAAATATCATTATGCAAATTTTGTCACTCGGGTCTTTCATTATGCGGGGAATAACTATACAGTATATGGTGGCATAACAAGTCTTAAAACAGCAAGACAACAGACTTAACATGACCTTTTGCGCTTTTTTTACGCTTGCTATTTTGCTCCGCACTCTTGGAATATTGTGCAACACTACAACTCACTTTACTCAATTGAAAAAAGATGTTCCATGTTGAATAACCACCAGCTTAATTTGGCACAAAAAATATCAGCAGTGAAAAAACATTTAAAACGCAGAGGAGAACATTTTGTGAAGACAATTCACCTGAACCAAATTCAAGGCACAACGGCTTTGATGCGAAAATCTTCGCACAAGAACTCCGATGAGGTCAAAAACGACGTTTTTCAACGGGACAGACTTGACGTGCAAAATGGTAGGGTCTCTCAGTATGGAACATGCCAAATTTCCGTACGCACTGGTCAGCGAGAAAAGAAAATCGAATTAGTGTCAGTGTATGAAACGGATGAACGGATGACTTACTTCACCACGGCGGGATCAACAAGTGGAGGATCAAACAGGCGATTTAAGCTGCATCCACACAAGCTTATGAGTGCGCTGATCATCCGGAGTTTCTCTTTGGACCAGTCAAGTGGGGTTACCGAAGAACTTTGGCCTTTCTTATTGCTCTGAAATTATAAAAATTCCCATAAGCAAAACATGTTTTCCAAAAAGGTAGAGAATATACTATACAGTATATACATTATAAGCAACACTTTTGAAATTGGGGCTTTTTCCCCGTGTTTGAAGATAACATAGCATGCGATTCATCGTTGAATAATCCTGAAGGAGTAGACGTGATAAAACAAAATCCATCGGAAGGCTACAGTTATATTTCTGAATTTCATCCGAATTCTCTAGATTTTCATCTCTAAATTAAGAAATTGGACGATACGGCTCCGACTTCTGGTTCATCCCGGGATTTTTCATCCGTGTATAAAAAAACATAGGAATGATATGTAATACAAACAACAGCACGGTACCTTGGTCAATTTAGAGTCAAACGTTTCCTGTTCGAATAACTCCGCCAATTCACAAGCAAGAAAGGACGTCATTTTCATGAGATTCCGGTCAATCGCCCGGCGATCAGGATCCAGAGACTTCTTCTCATCATTTAGGTACACTAGATCCTTCCCCAAACTACGAACAGCTGCAAAAAGAAAGCAAAAATAAACTTTTCAATTGACAATCTTCAAGTTTTTCAATCGGGTGAGAAAAACACAGCAAGTCGAACCGCATGTCAGCGATTCAAATGAGTAGCACGCGAAAATTCGACGAATTTACCACACACATAAACATAATGTACTGGACTTGGATTCCAAAGATAATAGACTTATTTTTCTTGGCCAGTCAACCAGAATTTCCTGAACGCCGAGTTGGTCTCCCCAGGTTTATTGTGCTGTTTTGCGAAACCATGCTTAGTTTACCTGAACTAAATCAAAATTAAATTTAAACAATCATGAAAAATGTAGAAAATACATTCGGAATCGTGTCACTATGATAACGGACGTAACGCATAATTCATTTTTCACACAGTGACTTCCAGTTGCCACAGATTTTTGTCTTCGATTGTGGACTCCACTTCGGGCCCAATACATGTTCTAAGCTTATGAAAAAAAATTCGGCACAAGTTGAAATAAAAGGCGATCAATTAAATGCTTTCAAAAAATTAGAAGATCTCACGCACCAGTCACGACAAATTCCCACGCTCTCCTTTTCGAAGACCCCTCCAAGTCTTTGAAGCAAAGCAACGTCGAGTACAGAACGTCAAAATTGTCAACAACGGCAGCACAGCCATTGCTTTGACACTCGTCCAAGGCATCTGAAATAAATGACCCACGAAAATTATGCAGACACTCAATCACGAAAAGTAATTTGCGGACAGCAAATACACACCTCTTAACCGATAAGGCAAGTCTTCAGCATTATAAATCGCAGAGACTGCGAAGTTTCCTTCGTCCGCAGATCCCACCAAGTCTCGAAGATTTCCGGGAATCCGGAATTCGACGACCGCCATGGTGAAGTATAAAACTCAACACGCTCACTGAATCATTAAAAAAATTTCGAAAAACGAAACAACCTCAGGGAACTACAGAATCTGAAAGTTTTGAAAATCAATAACTTCATGAACTTCCGCAGAAAAACATCTTCACGACGCCGAAAATGAAGCGTAACCAACTAAAACGTACGAAAGGTCTGAATTCAACAGTGAAATCCCGCAAAATTGATTAAATTCACACATTGAATTCACACAGTCAATCAATTCAAGTTCAACACATTCCCTAAATCATAAATATTTTTCAAAAACTTCACAACCTTATGGATCGTCGGGGCCTGAATCCGACAAAATGTCAAAATTGTAAGAAGGGAATCAAAACACACTGCCATTTTCGTATTCGTCAAAGCCTGAGCTTTGGCGACGCTCTTCTCCTTCCTCCTCACCCTCCAATTCGGCTCGAAGGAGACCGAATTTGAGCTGACGTCACGAGTCCGTGTCGGGTGCTACGATGCTTTGCCGCTGCGGTAACGCAGCGGCATCTAGCGGCCCGACAGGGATTACAGTACTGCATCTGAAAGTTTACAATATCAATAGGCTTCCGGCAGAAAGCAACTTAAATTTCGCCGATAAGAGAGCGTCACCAACTGAAACACACCAAAATGTCCGAATTCACGAGGAAATCACGCCGTATTATCCAAATTCACACGGTCAAGTTACAGCACAGGCCTCAAACACGTCACCAAAAGTGGAACTGGCGCGAAAAACACGTCGTTAATCCGCAATACTTCACGCCCGCCATTCCAAGAGAAACCTCTCATTTCAAATTCCATAACAGTACTTACCACAATCCAAAACTTAATCCGTCCGTAGCAAACAAATTTTTCGAAAATCTTCAAGATTGAAGAACAATTCCAAGAACCATCCACCAAAAAAAACCTGCAAGAGAAAATCCAAAAATTCCTCATGATAGCACGGTATCCTGTCAAAATTTTCAACATAAATCAAGCATCAGAACTGACATCTTGATCCGCTAATAGGCCAAAAGTGCGAAGCAGTATCACTCAGTTCAGGATGGCACTTTTCCGCGAACAACGAACAATTTCCACGTGGCGGGGAACCCAAAACCCATCCAAAACAATAAAAAGTCATGCGGTACAAAGCTTTTCAGATTTCCGAACACAACATACGCTTCACAGTAGAGAGAAAAAAAGAGATCAAAATTTCCTATCGAACACCAAAAAAAAGTACACCGGCACTTAAAACTCCACTCTTCAAGACGTGTCCAAGCGGATGATTCTCAACCGATTGTTCTCCGCAAACACGCAAGCAGCTTCGTTCGAGTACCCACAATACTGCGACGAACTAAACACAGTCAACAGCCGTCCCTTCTGATGCAATTGGAACCCCGCCTGCTGAACCTCATGCGCCCGGATCACATGCGACAACTTGTTCCTTTCCAAAAAAGCCTGCAACGCGGCCTGAGAAAACACATGCGCAGTTCCTCGCCGAACATTCGGCGCAAAACCCGCATTCAACTTCAACGACATCAGTCCATTCCCAGTCAAGGCTTGCTCATGCGCGGGATCATTCCACATAATTTCCCACGCCAACGGAGACTCCTTTTCCGGGTCAGACAAAGGCACAGGGATAGTATTTATCGCATCCACGAGACCACCGCCGTATTCATTCGGGAAAATGCCGCCGTGAAGACACAAGATCTTTTTGTCGATCAGTCCAGCAAGTGGCATCGCGTCGAAAGCACTGTTGATCGCTTCCCACACTTCGGGTCCAAGTGTCGGCCCAAACAAAGAGAAACACTGGTCGTGAAACTGAAACATCTTCTGCACACTCCGAAGCTCATGGTTGCCTCGCAACAAGAAAAACTTCTCCGGCGCCGCGACCTTGTGTGACAACAAATACGCCACCACTTCGACACCCATGTTGCCTCGGTCAACGTAATCTCCGAGGAAAAGAATATTCGCGGGGGTCAGTGTGGGTCCCAGGTGCCAGAACACCTTCTCAAAGCACGTGAGATCATGGAAATTCCCGTGAATGTCTCCTAGAATATACGCAGGACTCCGCACTTGTACCATTCGAGGCTCGTGCAGGAATAATTTCCGAGCCGTGTTGGCAATGTAAATCAGGTTCTTGCCGAGCTGGATCCTGTCGTATGAACCCCAAGTGTATTTCTGCTTCGGGGTTTCACTGGAACACGTCACACCGTACGGAAACATCATTGAATGCGTGTTGCCTTCGAAGAATTTCAGAGAAGCTATCATCACGTTCGGTGGCCAGGTCTTGTTGAAAGTATCAGTCGAATGGATACGATTTAGACCCAGGTGCTCGACTCCGGTTTCCTTCAGGGTTTCCGTGCCTTGATACTCCCAGAGAGTCATTACGTTAATGATGGATCCGCTGCGGACTTTGACTGAATGTGCTGCCAATTCGTAGCCTTGCTGCAATTCGTCCCCAGGGGTTAGAACTCGAACGTTGTCATAACGCGTTTTTCTGCTCCTGTTGTTGCCAACGTCGTCGCCGGATTGCACTGTGTTGAAGTTGAGATCCGACGCACTTTTCTCGTTGACGTCCACGACGTCTTGGTAAACGGTTTGAAGGAAATCCATGACAGGGCGAGGAGCGCGAAGAAGCACAGAAGTGCCCCGGAATTTCAGTTGACCGACTCCATAGAGAAACTCGGAAAGGGACAAGACTTTGGGGTTTTCGGGCTCGAAAACTAGAAAAGAAGCATGCGCAGCCCGTTCGACGTCTTCCACTGCCGTGCTTAGATTTTTCAGGCGATGAATGTCCGTCACCATGCTTTTGAATTCGCTGAATTCCAGGAATCCATCTTCATTCGCATCGTAATATCTGTAAAAAGAAAAGTAAACAATTCAATATGTATTTGAATTGATACACCAAAGTTCGTAAAATGATACCTTCCATGTACGGTGACATACAGTACTTACTACCGAATGATACCTGAAAATGACAGGAATTCCGTACTCGTGAAAAAGCATATCAAACCAAATTCATCTCTTCGATCATTCCGTTCTTGATCTCTCGAGCAATATTGTAGAGAAAGTCTATCGGAGGTTGCTTTAAAGTTATTTTTCTGCTTTACAGCAATAGAAGTTTCGAAATCAACTACTGTACAAGACGATGCTTCTCGGAATACCAGACATGGATATCCTGAATCACAAACCCCAACAAAAATAACCTAATATACAGTATTAAAGTTTTTTCAATATACTAGGGTAAGTAAAGCGTAAAATTTTGACGACACCTACGTAAACAGAAACGCAGAACAGGAAAAATCTTCGAATTTTTGCAGTGCATATAATCTAAATATAATCCCTTCTAAAGCCTTCTATCTCAAGACTAGTTAATCTTGAAGAGTATCAGAAATCAGGCTCGTACGGTTCGACGGTACAGTGAATTATGGTTTATTTTTCAAGATTTTTACAATACTGTAATACGAATAAAACTGATTTGTGGACTAAATTTAAACCTTAGCATCAATTTCACAAGATTTGTTCCAGTTCAACGCGGATGGATACCGTACAGTATCTTACATTTCATGTTATCAATTGAATACCTTACAGTTTGCTTTCCAAAAACTTATTAAAACGTTCACATGAGTAGAACATCACTACATGAACAACCTCATAATTGTGGGGCAGAATCGAATCACTGCACATTGATCATTACCGATACGCAACATACTCTGAGCCTCAAATAGAAGAAAAAATACTTGAATTAACCTCGAACGCAACTTCAAACAAACGAATGTATAAAGGATCAGGAAACGAAAACGCACTGATAAATAAATTACAATATTGTACATGATTTCAGACCTTCCCAGCTCGCTGCAGCCTTGGCCAAGTGTAAACTATCCTGCCTGACACGCAATTCATATGGAGGAGCTCACTTTTTCTCGCCAGGTAGTCCACATATCAATACTGTGCGCGAAAATTTACCTGAATATATATCGACATCGGGCTTCCCCGCACGGACCTCCGTGTTGTGCTGAAGGAGCCGTGGCCGCAACAGCAACGACGAAGTCTCGAAATGACAAAGCACCAAACCCACTGGCATCTGAGGCGCGGAACATGGGCTGAATCTGGTCTTTCGCCCAGCCCCACTCAATAAGAAACTGACAATATCCCGGGCGCTTCAGCTTCGGGAATGGAAACGTTCTCATGAGAAATTCCTGGTGGAGAACTTCTTGTTCAAACTCAAACAGATTTGCACTCTCTACCAAGGGTAACCTCGCGGCATCCACGCCCAAGCCGACTAACACGTCACTAAAGTGCAGTTCTTGAACTACTGGGGCAGGGTTGTTTCCGTTAGCGTCAACGACACCCTGGATCACATGGAGTAATTCATCCTGGACGGATCGGATAGCCATTGATACACCTGCATTAGAAGCCGCAGAACTTCCTGGTGGTCCGCCACCGAAGAGGCCCCAAAACTGTGTCCAGGTGTCCATCACTTCGTTGATCGACAGCCACTTCAGATTCCTGCCGATCATGATTTGCGCCGCTTCCGTGTCCATGAGCTTCACGGCGAAAGTCACATGCGATATAGTTTGTTGGCTCACGTGTACGGCAGGCAAGGATATTCGAGTAATTCTGGCAGTATCCGGCCTCTGACTCGGGGCGTCGCATCCGAGTTCATGCAAAATTCGCTCGGCAGTTTTCAACCATCCCGAATCCGGCACGGCAACCCGTGAGTTCGGAACCCAGAATGAATTATCACTATTCGAAGGCACATTCAGCAAAAAACGTACATCGTTCCGCACGACGAAATATATCACAACCGATACATGATCGCTGAGCATCATTCGGGCCCCGCTTGAACTACATCCTGTAGACGCCAACGAGGGACTAGCCGCGCCGTTCACACGCATGCTGACAGACATTTGAAAGAAACACTGAAAGGAAAGGTCCACACGAGAGCAGAAGCTGAAGAAACTTGTGAAGGGAAAAACGGCGAATTTACATTGGGATAGAAGACCTGCCACTCAGATTAACAATCCCGCGCCTTCAAGCGAGGCGACCGTTAGAGGAAAACGGAGGCGAGCTAGGCTCCTACGAAAAGGTGGATGTCCAGAAGTTGGATTACAAACTGGTATCAGGAAGACAGTATAAGGGCATCAACGATCCTGCAGGAACAAATTTCNCTAGCCGCGCCGTTCACACGCATGCTGACAGACATTTGAAAGAAACACTGAAAGGAAAGGTCCACACGAGAGCAGAAGCTGAAGAAACTTGTGAAGGGAAAAACGGCGAATTTACATTGGGATAGAAAATCTGCCACTCAGATTAACAATCCCGCGCCTTCAAGCGAGGCGACCGTTAGAGGAAAACCGAGGCGAGCTAGGCTCATACGAAAAGGTGGATGTCCAGAAGTTGGATTACAAACTGCTATCAGGAAGACAGTATAAGGGCATCATCGATCCTGCAGGAACAAATTTCATCTTGCAACTTATATGCAGTACTGTATTCAAGTAAAATATCAGCCTTATTACACTATTTTGCTTATTTACCCCTATAGTCACAGAAATTTTCAGTACAGTACTGATACATTATTTGTAACTGTTATAGTGCTGTACTGTATAACAAACAATTTTTAGTGCTTGATGTTAAGGTCTGGGGGAAAAAGTTTGTAGACCTCCCAATAAATTGATTAAATTCCCTTCTAATAATCCATTGAAATAGTACGTGAAAATCTTTTGGATTGTTTTTTGCGGTAAATTATGATAACATAGGTAAACACTACTGTGCAGGATCATACAAACTTAAAGTATAAACAGTCAGGAAATACCGAACAAAACTATATACATTAAACTCTGAAAAGTTTGTTCATGTGCATGATTCTCAAAAAACTTGCATCATAATAAATAAGACCTGCAGAAATACGGTACGTTGATGCAGTATATACTGTACAGTATAAGATTTCATCATCATATTACAAAAAAACTTATTGCAGAAGCCTGACAATTTTTTGAGACAATAATTTATATTATTGAGACTCGTCGTTTTCAACACATTTTAGCCTGAAATTTTCTGGAAAATGGTAAATGAATTCAGTCAACAGATTATATTACTGAAGCGACGACATATATACACAGCATTTCTATATAATACAAATAGTCTGTGATGAAATTAAAATACAATTTTTTGCATATAGTTATTCGTCTATATTTATCCTAAATTGATGCCTTTACACCCTCTATACAGTACTAATATGCTGTTTGCTTTAGAAATACAGTATATTAAAAGCAAGCTAAAAGTAGATTACACATGCGGGAGAAAATATACTGAATCATCCTTCGTAATCAACAGGGCCGGCGCTGGGGTGGGAGGCGCCTTTGTGCAAGAACAAATTTGGCGCCCCCCTTAAAAAAAAGAAAAGTTTAAAAAATTAAAAAAGGAAAATTTTATACTATGATGCCTGCAAGGCATCATAGTAATAGTACCTTCTGTTCCAACAGAATGTTTCTGTATTTTCTATGAGTATTTGTTGCAAACAAATCTGCATTGCATAAATTCAGTTTGCTTTTTGGTCATTTCACTGATATGTTTTCATTGAAGGAACTTTTTTTCAACTTTCAGTCCAAGTTCTTTTACACTGTATTCACATAATCATAATTCTGAGTACCGATTCACTTTCTATAAAAAAGGATTTTTGGCTTTTAAAAAAGTGCAGATCATGCCCAGCAAATAATTTTTAAGTTTTTCATGAGTAAAAAACCCATGAAAAACTGTCATCTGTAACATCACAGGTGATGGTCCCTCAAACCATCAATAATGGGTTACAGGACAGTTATTTTCATGGGTTAATAGGGCATAAAAGTAATGGGAGGAATTGGCATTAAAATAATGGGTATGTAATGGGCTGGTTGAGGGGGTTATTTTAATGGGTATTTCACCCATTCTTAATNTGGGATAGAAGACCTGCCACTCAGATTAACAATCCCGCGCCTTCAAGCGAGGCGACCGTTAGAGGAAAACGGAGGCGAGCTAGGCTCCTACGAAAAGGTGGATGTCCAGAAGTTGGATTACAAACTGGTATCAGGAAGACAGTATAAGGGCATCAACGATCCTGCAGGAACAAATTTCATCTTGCAACTTATATGCAGTACTGTATTCAAGTAAAATATCAGCCTTATTACACTATTTTGCTTATCTACCACTATAGTTACAGAAATTTGCAGTACAGTACTGATACATTATTTGTAACTGTTATAGTGCTGTACTGTATAACAAACAATTTTTAGTGCTTGATGTTAAGGTCTGGGGGAAAAAGTTTGTAGACCTCCCAATAAATTGATTAAATTCCCTTCTAATAATCCATTGAAATAGTATGTGAAAATCTTTTGGATTGTTTTTTGCGGTAAATTATGATAACATAGGTAAACACTACTGTGCAGGATCATACAAACTTAAAGTATAAACAGTCAGGAAATACCGAACAAAACTATATACATTAAACTCTGAAAAGTTTGTTCATGTGCATGATTCTCAAAAAACTTGCATCATAATAAATAAGACCTGCAGAAATACGGTACGTTGATGCAGTATATACTGTACAGTATAAGATTTCATCATCATATTACAAAAAAACTTATTGCAGAAGCCTGACAATTTTTTGAGACAATAATTTATATTATTGAGACTCGTCGTTTTCAACACATTTTAGCCTGAAATTTTCTGGAAAATGGTAAATGAATTCAGTCAACAGATTATATTACTGAAGCGACGACATATATACACAGCATTTCTATATAATACAAATAGTCTGTGATGAAATTAAAATACAATTTTTTGCATATAGTTATTCGTCTATATTTATCCTAAATTGATGCCTTTACACCCTCTATACAGTACTAATATGCTGTTTGCTTTAGAAATACAGTACATTAAAAGCAAGCTAAAAGTAGATTACACATGCGGGAGAAAATATACTGAATCATCCTTCGTAATCAACAATAACGCACTCATTATTGTTAAATGTATCATATACAGTATATACATACCTGATTTTTTAAATTAATGAATAATATGTTACCTAAATTACGCCGTTCATTTGAAAGAAATTAAGGCATACTCGCGTACATATACGCGTATAGCTGTACCGTATGCATTCTGTCAAATCGAGCTGCTAAATTATTGCCAAAGTATATAGGTCATATATCATATGCGCTTTGTATTTCATGGACGAATTCCACATTTTCTTTAAAGGAAAACGCTTGATAATTTTTCGGATGAATAAGTTTCACACACCCAATCCATATATATGTACAATGAACATATTGGTTTAGAAGGGGTTATCCGTTTGAATAAATATAACGTGAGTGGGAATTGAAACCCAATTCTAGCCCTGAAAACTCGTTGAACAGAGAATATATGCAAATACTGTACTCTATATATATATAGTTTCAAATTTTTTTTTATTCAGCAGCAGCAGTGCTATATACAGCTTGCATATTAAGAATACAGCAGTAATCAGAAAAAGCTGAGTTTTTGGAAGATCAAAGCTGTCATCAATGCAGCGCCATATTAATCAATTATTGCTTTGAATGTTTTTCTTTAGGAATCACTTAGTACAGTACAATATACTATAACATTATTTGTGCAACGTGTCTTTTGAAACACATATATGTTACTGCTGCACAAGGGTTGGTTTGTAAAAGATGATTAACTGACACTTGCCATCATTGGAGGCAGATGCAATTTTTTCTTTTGCTTTTCAATTCTTCATTGGTGTCACAAAAAATGTTTCATTGACTATTCAGCTACAAAAGGACACATGAAAAAGACCTGGATCATAGTGAATGCCCTACACTGAAGTGAAGTTTACCACATAACCCCCAAAGTCATAGAGCATGCAAGTGTGCATTTAGCTGCTCTTAATCAATTGAACTTCACTTCATTGGAGGGCATTCACTGTGATCCAGGTATTTTTCTTGTTTCGTCCTTCTGTAGCTAAGTAATCAATGAAAAAAGTTATTAGACACCAATGAATGATTGAAGAGCGAAGAAAAAATTGCATCTGCCTCCAATGCTGACAAGTGGCAATTTATCATCTTTTACAAACCAACCCTCATATATAAGAAGAACTTACCTTGTTTATTATGTTTGAATAAATCGTCCATATACATAATCATACCAATGCACAAAAGATCAGATGAGACAAAATTAAAGGTAATCTATAAATGACCTAGTTTTCATCAAGATGGCAGCCTTTACCAAAAAGTAAGACAAAAAAATGGCCCTTTTTTCGTTTCACCCTGTATATACTCCTGCATGTTTTATATGTACTGTACAGTAAAATTATTGCAAATCACGTCGCAGGAAATCAGAGGAAGAATTGAGGTGTTCCACATACTCAGGCTTTCTTTTTATTGTTCATCGTCGACGTAAAATTCTCACAAGAATATAACGACAAAAAATACATTTTTTCGTCATCCACAGCATTTTCCCGGAAAAGAACAAAATCTCTGGCATCATTTCGAATAAATAACGAAATGTATATCGCGTTAACCACGAAACACGATTTCAAACAGGAGGACGGATAATAATTCCACTTGACCGCATTTCTTTTTTGTTTGTTTTTTGTATCTACACATCTCTACTCCAATATAAGCTGCAGCGATACCAGCATCTCAGCACGAACAAAAAAAAAGAAATATAACTTCCTTCTTTCCAACACCCGCTCTGGCCGAGCATCACCTCAACGATCCTTCATACACACACACACGGCGGGTACAACGATCGCATTCAACGGTTCAAAATGCTGCAATAGGTAAAACAACCCCCCCCCCCCCCCGGGCATAATCTTCGTTCACCTCAAGAACAAACAAAATTCAACTTCATGATTTGAGATAACTTCAAAACAATAAATAGACGAACCTAACGGATAAATCTCCAGCGAAGAAACGAGAAGAGAACTCGTAACGAATTTCAAAACTTCCAGCAGATTTCTTTAACCAAATAAAAACTCAATACACCCCAAAAATCGCGAATTCATCTTCAACAATCAAAAGGATAAATTTCCAATAAATTATTTTCTAAATGGTCCCAATAGATTATTACGAAAAAAATGCAGAATCTTCGAGTACATCTCCGAGAATTAGGAACAAAGCGGAACTTTCAATCTGGTTTTTTTTTTCAACCACGAAAAAAATAAATTCATTCCTTAAAAAAAAGTTCAAACCGGATTGTCCAGAGGTCTTCTTTGTACGTCACCGAGCATTTCTTTTGCATGAGCAAGAGTGAAAAAGCATCTTCTTATATGGAAGTAAAATGCTTGACGCATTCAAGACACAACCATCACGTGATTCTCGTCTGAAACTTCAATTCCTCGGCCGAAAATATGAATATTTTTTGATGATGCTTTGGAAGTGATGAAAAATAGAACAGTATTTTTGACTGCGGCAAACTCTAGCTGAAAAACCCCATCTTCCTTCTTCTTCTTTTTTTCTAGAAGCCCTGGCAGTTTAAAAATTTCATGGCTGAATCTGTTGCCGCCCCTTGACAGCTAGCTCAGCAGACGAATTTCGGTTAAATCATCTCGTCGTTGTCGACGAGAAAAATAATGTTAGGCGAGAAAATTGTTTCGAACCTAGGACAAGAGGGCAAAGCATCATCACTGCTTCCCGGCGGAACGACCCAAAGTTTTCTGGCGATTCATGTTAGTGAGCATGAGTGAAATGTAGCTAGTGAGAAGGTCGTCCATCTTGTAACCCAGCGGGGTTTCACACAGCAGCTTGGACCCGCGAACCACCAAATTGCCGATCGTCATGTGGAAATAAGTGTTGCCCGACGACCAGTTGGAGATGCGAGTGAAAGGGTGAGTGACGAGCAGTTCTTTCGTGACCGGATGGATCATGGAAACACCGTGTTTGTTGATGGCGATTAAAAGGTGTTCCGGGTACGCCGGGTCCGTCGTTTGCTTCACCTCGAAGAAGGCCGACCCGAACGTCGGCCACCTGAATATCACCTGAGAATTGGGAAAAAAATAATTGTTTTCCTTTAATTATTCTTTCTTCCATAAAAATATTTTGAGAAATGAATACATAAATGTAAAAAATAAAGCTAAAATTACTCAAGATAAAAGAGTAATTGTTCTGTATCAAGTAAAGGGATTTGAAAATATAATTATATAAAATATTTGAAAAGCTCTTTAAAAAGGAGAAAATATGAAATTATTATTAAAATAATTATTTCTTCTCCCGAATAAATAATTTTTAAATAAATCACGTCATTCATCTAGCTCACTTGAGTGCCCAGGAAAACCCCAAAATCAAGCTTCAACCTACTGAAGAAACTTAATGGTAGCGCACAGAAATTATCCTCGGCAAGGGATTGTTAAAAAATTGGGGAAATTGCAAATTAACACCTAGTCATCGCCACCCCCTCCCCCAAAAAGTTTTGTATTTTAAACAATTTATAACACAAAAAGTGATCATCAGAAAATATCAATTTTTCTTCCAGATATAATAAACCTGCTATTCTCTTAAACAACGAAATTTCAACAGTTAGAGTTTCAGACTCTCATGGCATATTTTCAGCATACTGCGAAATCAGTGGAAAATTCACCATCATTTCATCCTGAAAGTTCTCCCTTTTCATCGTGCAGTGGCAAAAGAAAATTGCCTTAAAAATTCGAAGAAAAAAACTTGAAACATCACGCGGAGAATTTTAAAGTGTTTTTCAATTTTCAACAGCGTCAAAATTTCTTGGGACGCGTGGCAGTGGGACAACCCTCGTATTCACCGTAAGGGTTCACTTGAATTTATCTCGATACTGCTCATACATCCTTTGAAAATTTTTATAAAATTTAAATTTAACTGGAACAAAAAAAAACACTCACTTTCAGGAAGGCAATCTTGGCATCTTCCGGAGACATCCCTTGGTCCTGATTGTAAGCTGACATTATCCCCTTCTTCCACTCCATAGTTCCTACGGTCTTAATGAGGTCATTCGGCACCAGTTCACGCAACATTTGACTGCAAATCGAAAAAGAAACATAAATTAGCAAGCCAACAAATTTATAGAGATTCATCAACGCAACACTCACGGCAAAGACGCAAATTCGTCCTTCGAGTCACCATAATGTACACGGTAAATCAATGCAGCAAGCTTCATTGCTTCCTCTTTTGTGCACTTGTGATATCCTGCAACAGGACACAATTCCCAAAAAATTGTCCATATTATTAAATTCATTTTTCTGCATTTATAAACGAAAGACGCGGATAAATGCAAAAAATAGTCTGATATATGCGGCGCAAAGGGATTTCTATAAAGATGTAACCCTATGGTTCCTTTATGCAAGACAGGTGTCACTTGAATCCCTCATCTGAAATTTATAGAAAGAACCACCTTCACCTAGTCTTATTTACAGAAAAAGTACAGTGAGACCCCCACAGGCAAACACCTCAACATGCAGATAATTTGACATAGGGACACTTATTTTCCTAAAAAAATAATAAAAAAAGGCGCAACATGAGGACACTGACTCAACATAGGACCATTTTGTGATAAAATTGCAAATAAGTTTCAGGCCAAATTACAAGAAACAGATATTTCCAACCCTAAAATCGATGTAAGAAGAGTTCTTGGGCATTTCTCTCACCAAATCACCACCCATTTAGCTAATTTTAAAAATTAACAGATCTTCCACAAGGTTTACTTTCCCGATGACACGGACGAGGTACGTTTAAAGACCATCATTTAATGCAAATCTCTTGATGCACCAATTACGTCCGCATCTCGGGGTCTCACTGTAATTTACAGTATACAGTCCCGTACTGAAGTAACGCAATTAAAAAAAATACCAAGGATTCAAGCGTTGAAATACAGATAATAATCTTAAGTAAATTCCGCATCTTGTAAAATACTTCAATTTTCCCGAAAAATTGATTCGGAAAAATTAAGAATTCTTCGTACCTCGCAAGAGTTTCGGAAGTTCTTGATGGTAGTGGAAAATGATGTCCGCATTTCGATCCCTACCAGGCACTGTATTCGTCCACAATTTCTTCATGAAGAACACTTGGTACGTGAATTGAGGCGTCGCTCCTGATGATTGATCAAAAAGAAAACAAATTAATTTGCATCTCCGGTGTAAAGCAGGGGTCACACAATAAAATTCCAATCGGACGAACTCCTTTAACCAACGAATAAAGCATATACAGTAGTATCAATAAAGAGGAATCTAACGAATATAATATTACGAATATAACGAATTAAAGCTTACAACGAATTGGTTCGTGGTCCCTGTCCAAAAGCCACAATGTTATCTTAATTCCTTTTCAACAAATTTTTGTTCATAACGACGCGATTTTAAGGTCCCAAACCCTTCGTTTTAAGAAGAGTCTGCTGTAACAAATTGAATCGAAAATTAAAATTATCGACCGTTGGCAATCCTATATGAAGAGAGATCTTGAATAATTTTATTTTCTTTAATTTGAACAATTTTAGTAATTTTTTCCAAACAAATCGGTGGTTCTTCACAGGAATTTGTCCGATTAATCCACAAAGAAGCATCCAGGAAAATGACAAGCATTCAGGAAATTCACCAGCACACGGCACTCCAAGCGAAAAAAAAAAACAAAACACACTCATATAATTACTGAAGACCAAGTCCAACTCCAACTTCACGGCTTCAAAATCACTGCTGTCGACGGTTACAGGCAACACAACAGCGTTGCAAGTATTACCCAGGCTCTTTCCAAAACTCAAGCGAAAAAGCCTGAATGCAATACTCACAGCACCGCGGCCAGGTTTTTCTACAGGGTTTCAGCCAAACTCGAGGGGGGAAAAGCTTCGTTCTTTTTCCAGCCAAAAAATAAAATAAAAAATAGCGCTAAGGTATGATGCAAACTAAATGTCTACGACTCAATGGAACTAGAAAAGTAAAAAAAAAACAAAAGCGACCAACAACCGGGACAAGAATCGACGACATATTTTTCTTTTCCGGCGTTCTACAAGAAAAAAAAAAAACTCTTCCAGCGATCAAAAAGCTTTTCAAAAGCGCGGGATTTCAACCGCAAGTTCATCAATCACATGCGAACAGCTCGAATTGCGAAATTATCACACACGGCGATTAACGCTCTTTCAAACATGGCAAAAAGAAAATATTTCCGGGTTTTATTGAAACAAAATTCTGAGAAGAGAGAAAACCAGAAACTTTCCTGACATGGCAAAGATCTCGATTATTATCTCTCAACTGCAGTTACGTCATTAGATAAATAATCAACACTAAAAGATTTGCATTGAAAAAAAAAAAAAATTGTCCCCTTTCAATTCAATAAGCTAATCTTAATAATGTAGTTGTCTTACTTTCCTTAGACAAAAACGTCACCGAAGATATATTTCTTTATATCTTCAAAGCTCAACTATTCACGATAGAACGTCAATCACCCTGTACAATAGAATATACTGATCCCTACAAAACAAGCAATAATACAGACCTTTTCAAAGAGCACAGCACTCAAATACAAATCTGATTCAACACTAAAAAGCACTTTCAATACATTTTTTAAATCCCGAAAAAATAACTAAAATGCAGACAATACCAAAAATATCGACGTCGGCGAAAATACGTCAAGTACAAGTAAATACCTTACGCGACTGAAAACCAAGCAGGATTTCATCTCACAAACAAAAATATCAAATTTCGTATGATAATCATTCATTCTCGAAAAAAAAAGACAATGGAATGTTTGAGCGCAGCATATACTAACACGAAAATGATTTTATATTTTTTATTTTTAGAAAAATCACTTACCATCTCGAGAAGGACGAGCTTTTTTAATCCAATCAGTCAGATGACGAACGAAGTCAAAGAAGAAGTCAGCTTCGGGCACAGAAATGACCTTATCTGCTATCTTGACAAAAAGGGAGAATCCTTCGCTGGATTTCAGATTCAACCTCTGCGCTATGCTCGCGCAGAAATCTTTGGCTCTCGTGCTCGAATCAACTTCAAAAGCCTGTAAAAAAAAATATTGTGTATTGAAACTCTGGAATTCCAAAATCATATCACCAGCCTGACAAAAAATCACTGCACAGTACTCAAAAACAGTAGAATTTAAAGATTACAGCATTATCACCTGTGGTCTGAGAAACAAGTTTACAGTAATTTCAAAACACTTTTCGAAGAGCGGAGAAATCGGGCAACGAACTGCGAAACCACTTCGTCAGACAAATAAATGTTAACTAAATTTGCAGATAAAGAGTCAAAATTGAATTGAAATGAAAAAGTAAATTAATTTTAACTTCCCGAATATGAAGCTACAAACCACAAGACACGAATTCTAAGCATCAAAATTTCCGAAGTTTACAAAAAAATGTTCGAGAAAGTCGTGCATCACAAGAGATTTGCATTAAATGATGGTCTTTAAACGTACCTCGTCCGTGTCATCGGGAAAGTAAACCTTGTGGAAGATCTGCGTGGTCTTGTGTTGAATCGCTTCAACTTCCACCTGATGAGGCGGGTATTTCCTTTGCCCGTTCCGGATGGTCTTCTGCAACCGCTGAATCGCGTCCAGGGCAATCGGATGGGGACGAGTGCGCAGAAACTGGTTAAGCTCCTGAATTCACAAAGAAAAGAAAAACATTTCATAAAAAAAGGAGCCACTGCAAGAAATAGAAAACAGCGCAAAAAAAACTTGAAAAAATAACCCACAAAAGTATAAGGAGAAACGTGGGTAAAGCGCTTGTTCCTCTCCTTTCGAAAAATGCACCTTAAAAGTATCTATCCAAGATTAAAATTGCTCTCACGAAAGCCGGAGACAATGGAAAATGCTAAAAATATTTTTTCAAGAATTTATGAAATGTCCGATAATTTTACAACAAAAAATTAAAGATTAAAAATAAGCTAAAAATATTTTTTCAAGGATTTATGAATGGTTCGATAATTTTACAACAACAAAAAATTAAAGATTACAGAAATCGGGGATGACCAACCTTCAAAAGATTTTGCGAAGACGCAAACAACCCGGTCGCGAGCCACATGAGTTCCCATCCGCGCTCTTCAGACAACCGGTTTCTATTGTCAGTCAGCTGTTTCATGATTTGGCAGTACACTTCATCTCGAAGGATCTCCTAGAACACGAAAAAAAAAAATTAAATGCAAACGAATAACAATTTGAAACGACGGAGTCGAAATCATGGTTCAGAAAATTATACTGACATGTTTCAAGGGTCCATCGAATATTTGGTCCGTAAGCTCGTTGCCCGTACGCGATCTTCTCGACGGCAAATCTCCCATGTATTTCAATATCGCAGTGAAAGCGCCAACAGCCTGGAAAAACCCGAATCATATGTTTACCCTAAATATGTTTACCCTGTTTTGAAAGGGTACACCCTTTCAAAATTTTCAAGATAGAAAAAAGTATCAGAAAACAGTGCAAGGAAACAATTATCGACGCATGCATACAATAAAAAAAAACTTGAAAAACTAATACAGTATTCCAGAGCGGGATAAGTTACTTAAAAAAGGTTCAATACGCAAAACTAAAAAAAAGTAACTGGATAAAAATCACAATTTGTGATTAGTATACTGTATGATCAATATTTTTCACAGATTACGGCTACGATACAGAAAATCCCAGAAAATCCTTCAATTCTTTTTTTCGATTACTTGAAAAAAGTTGAATAATATTAAAATTATTTTTGTTGGATACACGAAACAAATTTTAATAAATTTTGAAATCGATCGTATAACTAATTTATCTACACACTGTAGATTTGAACTACTGTATACAGTTGAACCTCTACAATAACTCGAACCTTAAATTTGTCTTCAAGTCCAGATATGAATTCCCTTTGAAACAATGCATCAAGAACCTCCCTAATTCAAAAGCTTTCCCCTATAAAGCCTCCATAACTCAAATTGTATCGAGGAATATTGGCTATTATTTGATTGACACAGGCGTCAAGAGAGTGATAGACTATCATTGGGCAAGTGAACCCTCTCGCTTTCAACTTCAGCATCCTGTCGAATCATCACAATTTAAGGCCCATATTATCGCAAATTCCAATTTCCTTTAATTCTTCTTTCTTTCTCCTATAAAAATGCTCGTTCCCTCAACTCATCGAAACCTCCCCATTCTCAAATTCATTTTGCTAGTCCCTTGATGTTCGACTTACAGAACCATTTCCACAATGAAATCGGAAAAAAAAATTGATCAAGTTTCTCGAACCTCCATGGCCAATTCCTCTTTAGTCAGCAGCTTCTTCAGCAGCGGCTGGCGCACGGGCTCCCTGCTGTGGCGCCACAACTCATCCTTTCCGCCACGTCTCG